ACTTCGTGAGATTCTAGTACACCCCCAATGGTTGTGTCTCCCTTGACTATGCTGAACGGCAAACGACGTTTTCCAAGTGTGTTGGATGTTGCACCTAAACCCGCAAACGACTTTTTCCTAGAATCAACCCAGGGGAAACTTAGGCCTAGCGCCTTAAGTCTCTTCTCGGCTAGTGCTCCCCAGGATGCACTATGGCAGGTGGAATTGCAACCTTCGTCGAGGGCACCCCATACGTGGGCCTCTAACGGGTCCCACATGTCTACTAGGGGGAGGTTGTCAATTCGGACTAGATCGCTACAGAAGCTGATCCTGCACCTGCAATATTCCTAGGAAAAACCTTAGGTTTTCCATCGCCCTTCCCCTTAGCCTTCGCCTTAGAGAGGGCCTTGGGCGGTGCAGGTTGACTTGGCTCTGAAGGTGAGATCCCTCTACCTTTACCTCGCTTAAGCCACCTAGGTTTCGGTTCTATCCCTGCTCCCTTGCCCTGCCCGGTGGTCCTCGCCGGCGCCGCGGTCGAAGCTGAGTTGCCACTGTCGGGCAGGTCCTGTCGAGAGGCGGAGGCACTGGCCCGGGAGGGTCCAGTGAAGCGGTTAGGCCTCGTGACGTAAGGATCACGGGGCTCCTCTTCAGCTTGCACATAGGCTTGTGCTGCGTCTGCCTCCCATACAACCGACCTATCTACGAAACCACCCTTAGGGTTTTCCTTAGGGGTCGGCTCGACTAGATTAGGGGTCTTAGGGATATTTTGGTTTTGGCTCGACGACGAGGATGCCTGGGCATTCCTCGGAGAGGATGCTTGAGCATTCCCCTGTGGGGGCGAGGAGGCTTCCGCCTTCCACTTGGCGCGGATGTACTCAGGTCCTGCCTTAGCGCAGGCCTCTCTGTACTCCTCCTCGCGCCTCTGTGCGTCGAGTTCTCTTCTCCTGGCGAAACCCTCTGCCAGGATCTGCTCCCGTCTGCGTCTCCAGGCATCATGCCGTGGGAGATTCTGGAGGTCCAGGTCTCGCTCTGTAGGATCCTCCCACCAAGGGACCGGTTCGGTTCCCTGTCGCTGGCGTGCTTGAAAGTCCAGCTGCATGATCTCCCTTCCGGGAACGTGTCGCACTTGCAGACGGTTCTGAGCCGCCGACGCTGAGGCAGGAGGCGTCACACTGTCGGATTCGGCATCATTCTGAGTCTGCTGGCGCGCCTGCTCAAAGGCTGCGTCAAGATCCTCTTGAGCTTGCCTGGCGATATAATCGTCCAGCTCAGCAACATTGTAGGATCCTGGCGATCCGTCGTCTGACGAACCACCCGGGAACGGGTCGTACAGATCGTCATCGGCCCTGAAGCTTTCTATTAGAATAGCTTCTCGATAATCGCGATCGAGATCCGGGTCCTGGCTGTGCACAACGGAATCGGTCCCCAGGGGATCCGAGATGTTGTACAGCTCCGGAGTATTCGAGGCTGGCTCAGGCTCTGGAGCTGGATCTGGCTCTGAAGCAGGAACGGCTGGAACAGGCTGCTTAGCCTTCCCCTTTCCTTTGTTGCGCCCGGGGCTGCGCCCTCGGGCCACCATTGCTGTCGGGGCGAACTCCCAGGAGGGACTTATGGGACTAGACCCGACTATCATGGTGATTGCTTCCTTAAGCCACAAGTGAAGCCCTGTTGGGTGAATCCGTTCCTCCAACGCAATGGCCTGGTTGATGCGATCTTGGTACAAACCCATGATCTGCAGCACTGCCTCAGGGTCGAGGTCAGCGGTCGCGTCGTCAGCGGTAACCGCTTGAACCAGGGGAAGCGCGAGGTCCGTCGCTTCCAAGATGCGTTCCGAGACGGCTTTCCGTTCTCGGTGAAACTCCTGCGGCACTTCATCAACGATAGTGCCACACATTCTACAGAAGGTTCGGGACGTGATCCTCGAACTACCCCGATGGTCTGTTGCTTCGTGTGAGCATACAGAGGGGTCTACGGTATATACATGTTCCCGTTTTTCTTGGGATACATGGCCGCAGTCCCTGCAGGTCTTGCGGACGTAATTCGCGGAACTCCCTTGGTAGGAGAATTCCGTGCACGAGCTACACTTCTCCGCCAAGGGCGGATTCGGTGGAGTCTTTTTCTTCGCGCCCTTTCCCCTCGGGCGAGGGTTATAGGTTCCCTCAGGGATACCTATCGAGGCACGAGTTTCGCGATAGTATTGACCTCCTACACCCTGCTGAATGACATAATATCTATTAAACCAGGTGAGGAAATCCTTAAGGTGCGCGGCAGGGCTCGGCTGGACGAGGGCCCAGCGCACGAACTCAGTCTTACGGGATACCTCCTCGTAAGTCTGGCCCTTGTGTTGACCGAGATTAAATCTTCGGTCGGCACCCTCCATCTGCATTGAGCTAGATGGTTGTGAGGGGGCAGCCTTGGATCTGGGTTCGCCTAGATCCCGCACCATATGGCCACTAGGGTCCATATCGTTCCCTGAGGGAACGTACAGGCCCCCGTCGGGGTCCTGTCGCGGCTCCACAATTGCTATGTGGGCCCGGGGTTTCCCTTTCCCTCCTTTAGAGGTAGGGAATTTGCACTCGGGGTCACCTGCCCAGTGACCAATAGCTCCACACCTGAGGCATTTCGACCGTGCCTTCAGGTTTTTCATTTTCTCGCGACGTTCGTCGAGCGTAAGGTGTGATCGCACTACCTTACCTTTCCCTTTTCCTTTGCGGCCCTTGCCCTTACGCCCCTTCGCTTTTCCGAATGCGGCGTTCGCGGCAAGCTGCAATTGGATTACATGGCCGCTGTCTGCATCCTCGGGATCAAGCTCCTCGAGGCAGTTAAGGGCAGTTGCCTCTTCTTCCTCGAGCTCGAATTCCTCGTAGCCCGGGTCCTCTTCCTCCTCCCCGGCGGGGTAGGAGTGAGGATCGTACTCAGGCTCGTCCCCAAAGGCGGGGTACGAGGTGTCGTCGTACTCTTCGGCATCGTCGCCGTCGTCCGGCGGCGCGTCGTCGTAGTACTGCGTCTCGTCTTCAGCGACGTAGGCGCGACGGTTAAAACCCTTAGACCTATTCTTACCGTAGCCCTTAGGGTTCCCGCGGCGGGCACCAGGATGGTGATGCGGTCGGCGGTCCTGAAAGGTACCGCCACCTAAGGAACGACCTTCCTTTAGGTGAACGCCGCTGTAGTGCTCCACTAGGGTAGCAGCAACTGCTTCAAAGCTCCGGTTGCTAGTGGTGCATGCCTTAATGACAAGGCACTCTTGCCGAGTCAAACCGGAAAGCTCCAATAGCAATTCTACGCGCATCGGCTCGGAAAGCTCGATGCTGGCGTCGAGAGTTTTGAGCAGTTTCCACCAGCGTCGTCGTCGGCTGACGTACGACAGCATCGACTCGCCACCTTGGCGTGCGAGGACACCTTGCTTTTGGCCCGCACGGAAGAGCTCTCGAGCTTCTTCGGTCGCACGGGGGAAGACGACATTCCTCAACTTGGTGATGAAATCCCGGAGGCCACCAGGGGCAGTCAGGGATTCGATACCGATATCCCGGGCGAGTTCGAAGGCTTCGTCCCGAAGTCCTTCCAGCACTTTATGCACCATTTCGGTTCGTGCTTTAACCGCATAGGATGACATTTCGTCGGCAACCGGCAGTTCTGTGACCGAGTCAGGTGACTTCGGTGCAGATGGTCTCCTGCGAGATCCACCATCAGAGGCTGCTGCAGCTGCCTCGGCTGCATCTATGTCGGGCCTGTCCTCGGGAGGTACAGGGGCAGTGGCTCCCGCAGTCGGACTCTGCTCCACGACGCGGCTCTCATCGTCACTGCCTTCTTCTTCTGGCTCCACGGTCTTCTTAGGTTTGCTCCTGATGGCATCTTCGTACAGTTTAAGCCTCATAGAGGTCCTAAACTCCCAGTCGTGGAACGTACTGGGGGTGCCATCATATATGTAGCTCCCGCTACGAGTCTCAAGGGGAGTACTCGAGTAGGTGGAGCGACTGTACCGAAGACCGGCCACGGACATGCTTGGCGAAAGTTCCAAGGGAAAGAATTGAGAGGGAGGTATGCAATGGTAGGTGTTGAGCACAGGCTACAGGCTACTGCGATCCGCGCAGATACAGGTCCCGGAGGTACCTGGCTCCGCTGCCAGTTTGAGAAAACTGGTGGATCTTTTCGCCGACTGCGAAGCTATCTGAATATGACTCAAGGGCCCTAACGGCAGCGGGAAATATATACAGTTAACACATGCATGTCATGGCCATGGCTTCCTGTACATGTACAACAGAGGGTGCATTCACATTTGGTACGTAGTAAGTCCTTGACCGCGGCATGGCCAGTGTAGAGGTCGGCTGCTACAGAAGCTGCTGTTGCTGCAGCACCCTCTGCCGGCCCACCGATGCGGCGGCCTGGTGTGGCTGAGCTGTCGTCACTGCGACACCAGTGCTGAAAACCCCACTCAGCGAGGGGCTGCTGGTATTTCCTGGCCGTCTGTGTGGCACCGGAAAGCTTGAAGAAGCCTGTAGTCAACCAGTTTCAGCTTTGCAACGGCGACTGAAAGTGACCGACCTCCGGCGCTGCATAGTGCCTGGAGCCGCAACTGCTTGCAGCAGCTGTAGGTCATGTCTAGAGCCGAGAGTTTGGACAGGCTTGGACAGGGGCGAGCCTCCTTCGCGCCTCGTTCACATACTGAGCACCTGAGCAGGCAATCTCTGAACTGCACGGAGCCTCCTCAGTGTATCCAAGCTAAGGGCGTGATGAGGCTGGCCCGGGGGGCCGGGTTGGGGTGTTCATGCCCTGCAGTCACCAGGGCAGGGCGGCGGAAGAGGAAAGGAAAGGCCAAGCACGGACTGCAGCACCTGTGAAGTGCCAGGTCTCTGTGGTTCGCGCGCGCTCTGAGGCCCAGAATCACCTGGCCAGTTCGTGTCAAGCAGCCGGTTCGCCTGTGAGGAATGGTCTGGCAAAGAGCGAGAGAACGATAGGACTTTTTTAGATGCCTCAATTGAAGCTCATGTGGCTCAGCAGCTCAGAAGCCCTTTGGCGATTCGTCAGAGGAAGCACGCCTTCCCCATAATCTGATACACTTGCGTGGAGGACAGAAGCTCCACAAATCTTGGGTTAATGTGCTGCAGTCGCTTGAGCTCAGATGCCTCCATATCAGAGATTTTGATAAGCTTCTCCAGCACGGTGTCACCACCATCAATGTCATCCTTGCACCACATGGCTAAAACCTCCAGGCAATCAGTCACATTCATGACGTTGTGCTCTCTGGCCATGAGGAGCATACGCTCCAAGAACGGAGCAGGAACACAGGGGTTCCTAAAGTCATGCAAGCGAGTCAGCGCTTTCCATGACGAGAGACTAGCTTCACATAAACGCTCATCGAGTTCATCACTCTGCAGGAAAGCAGAAGTTCTTACGAAGCCGACAAACTCTGCTTCTGTGAGTTCTGGTCGCGCTCGCGTCGTGATGCAGTGAAGAGCTCGCAAGAAGAGCTCAGGATGCGGCGGCTGGATGGAAACTGGTCCCTCGCTACTTGCCAAGTCTGGGCCCAGCAAGTCTGAGAGGAAGCGCGAGCGTCCGCCCATCAAAACGCTTCGATGGACAGGAACGATGTCATCACCAACTTTGATCTTCAAGTCGCTGTCCCAGCAGACTTCGAGCTGCAAGACGCCGCAAGCACCGGCAGGAGGATACAACGTCATGCAGCCCACCAGTCAAGTATGTTCACAGGACTGTTTACAGCTTGATCCTTGAGCTGCCTGTTAACCTGCTTCAATTAGCAGATAATCGTGCAGAGACATGGCTTCTTGCGTAAAGTCGCAAGCATTGGAAGCTAGGATTGTTGCACAAAGCAGCAATTCAATGCTACCATGTCACTACCAGCATCTATGAGCCATGTCTGCGTAGGCTCTGCGACTGGAAAGCGGCCATCATAAGGCACGCAGAAACGTCTCTGGTGCACCCGTGCAGGCCGGTCGGACCTGCATTGTGGCGGCCGCTAGGCGTGCTCGTTCGATATCCTCGTGGCGTGGTCTCAGGTGCTCGCAGTTCTACGTTTCAGAATAATTATCTGCGCAAAATTGAGTCAGCAGCCTCTGGGTGTCGGAGTGCCTGCAAGGCAGCTGCTTGAAACTGTTCATGAAACCTCAAAACTTACCACCTGATGCCGGCTGGAAGGAGGATCCGTTCGGCGTTTGGGCCTGGCCCGAGAGGCCCAGAGGCACCAGCATTCGCGAGAGCGCGGTAATTAAGCAAATTAAGCGATTAGCATCCAGATATGCGTTGTGCCTGAGAAGAGGACACTTTTCGCCTGCCAACGGGCCTAAGCAGCAAGCCGAAGTTGCTGTGAAGTGATTCATGAGGGCAGCTTTCAGATCGCTTGCATCGCCCTGGGCATCGCCCTGGGCCCAACGCGTCGAAGTTCCGTGAGTGGCCGTGTGACTCCTCAGGGGAGGAAACTTAAACTCATCGAGTCCAGAGAGGGCAAGCACTAGTGTCGGCGAACGTCCGAGGACAGGGCATGTCTTGGTGACGGCCGCGGCTGGGATGCCCTAGATGCGACAGCAAGATCGTAAGAGATGCGCCGCCGTAGTTTTAAGCTCATTGAACTCACATTCCCCATGAAGTGTGCGCTTGTCAGCGGCACCTGTAGACGGCGGCCGTGGCCTGGGCGACTTCGGCACAACTGCTCCGTTCGCATTGGTGCAGCCGTTTAGACCGAGACCCCGACTCCAGCGGCTTGCTTGAAGACTCTGCCTGCACGGACAGGGACACGAGACACCACTCATGACGCCAGCACATCTCTGCAGTCTCCTGGGCCATCCTAGAGGACTTAGCCTGGCTCCTGATGGGACCTGCCAGAGACACCACGCACCGGACTTTGGCCTTTTGGCTTGGAGCATGCCCTGGTGCTTGTCCAGGAAGTTGACCTGGAAAGGCCTCCACCAATTCCATCGCCATCGGCAAATTTGCAGGCCGACCATCCGGATTGCCCCCAAGCACCGCACCCAGTTCCCGTAGTTCGGAGCTCCTCGCAACGTGGACACTGAAGGCGAAAGCCCCGTTGCTGACAGTTGCACTAACTATCGCACTCCTGGTTCCGGGGTCTTCGAACCTCCTGCGGAACGTGGCGACGATCCGCCGGCCGCGCGATCCGCGTCTGCGGCGATCCCACGTGCCTCGGCGAGCTCAAGCACCCTGGACCCTGTTTCGTCCTTCGCCTCGAGCCGTCTCCTGGGCCCCTAAGGCCGCCACTGCCACGGGCACATCATCAAGGCCTCACACAAACGCACTGACAAAAGCAAGCCAAAGCCGGCCATGGCAGGCGTTCAAATTTGAGTTTGCCGCCGAGCTTTGGCTTTTCCGCAATTTCGGCCTGAAGTGAAACAACCTACTGTAACACATCGCTGGCCTTGTCTTCTCTGCGCGGCACCTGGAATGGCGATGGCGAGGGAGATCGCTCGGCGGGCAACTCCATCTCACGGAAGTCGGGTCGCGTGATCGGGCCCTGTTTCGACGTGGTCCACAGCACAGCGCAGAGCACGGACATGAGCCGCCTCGAAGCCAGCATGCGCATTCTGGTCCAAGGCCTAGCGAGCATCCAATTGCGGCTTTCCGGCATGCAACCGCTTCGTCCAGAGCTGCAAGCCATGCGCCACAGCACTGATGGATGCTTCTCTATTCGCTTTGCTCAGGGGCTTGGGAGTCTGGAAGAACAGCATCTCTCTGTATCTCTCTCTCAGGGAGGGAACATCCAGGGGGTTCCACGACTCAAGACGACACAACCTCCCCACCCTCAGACTCATGTCGTCCCGAAGTGCTCCATCTGTCTCTGTCTGTGTCTGTTCGCGAGACTGGCTCGGCTCTCTCGCCCCACCTTCCGACTTCGGACCTTCGAGAGCTGCTGGCGCTACTGGAACCCGCCTTCAAGCTTCCACCTGAGCGCTTCTTCTTCTCGACGAGCAGATGATACGTGGTGGTGACGTGGTTGTGCTTTCCCATCTGCCTGACATCAGCGGGGGGGGTTCTATCACCATCTCAAGCTTGTCAGAATCTGGGGGGGTGCCCTAAACCCAATGCTCCGCGTTTACCGAAGTTTGCCAAGTTGGCAGCCCCTCCAAGAATAAATCGAGACAGGGATGCAGGCACTTGATGGCATAGTCTCTGGGAAAGCCAAAACGGTCAAGTTGGTCCAGCCTGCAGTTTGAAAGAGACAGAAACTCACCTCTTGCAAGACAAGCCCGCGTGGAAGGGAAACTTCCAAGGATTCAACACGTCCTCTTCAAGGATCTTGGACCCGGCACCTGTGTGCGAAGCTCTTCTCTTGCGAAGTGAAAGGGAAAGGTCTGAGCACAGTCACGCAAGAGTCAATGCATCAAGAACAGTCACGCCTCCATTGAGGGACAGCGACGCCTCGCTGATTTGCCGGTACCTGCGAAGGAGCTCAGGCGGCGAACGGAATTCTGCCGAAGTCTTCGGGGGGGGGGGGGCCAAGCGTGTGCTCGGATCTTTGGAGTGGTGTAGCGCTGCTCAGGGTCAGTGTTCAACATCCTGGATTCGGATTCTCTAACGTCATCAACACGATCCCATATCTGCAAACTCTCCCTGCCAGAGTCCTGGCAATGAGGTCGCGCGCGTTTTCCGAAATAAACTTCGGAGCCTTTCAAACGAGCAGAAGAACATCCCCAGACAAGAGCTACAGGCAGCCGGGCTGGCTTCAGCAGCAATGCGCCTGGTAGTCTGCATTCAGAATCTTGCGGTACAAGGCCGATGTATTCTGGTCTTCGAAGGGAAGATATCCACCTCAGCTGACAAGTCGTTGCAAGGGCCAAAAACCGTCTGTTCGAGCCAAGATCCGTGCAGACTAAGGCAAAGAGTATCACTCCGCAGCTCCAGATGTCACAACGGGATGGAACCTTCACGCGCAAGGCTTGGACGAGGAAGCCTGAAACACTTGAGGCCCTGAGGTCTCCACGTAGCGCTGACCTGCTACCATCTCCGGGGCCGCATAGCACGGAGACCCGCAGGCGGTTTTCAGAAGCTGACCATCCTGCCCAAAAGGCTCCAAGATCATCCAAGCCTTGCTTGCTGCGACCCTGCCTGGTAGGTGTTACTCAAGCCGAAGTCCACGATCTTGATGTTTCTCTGCTCATCCAACAGCAGATTCTCAGGCTTCAGATCCCGATGAACGACATTCATCCTCTCAGGAGTGCACTCACAAGAAACCGCAGGTCCAGGTACAGAATGCATGCTGCCAAAAGATCCATCACATGTGGACAGCTTTCAAAACGTGCCCCGCCGATCCTATGGATCTGCTCAACCCCGGCCATGATCTGGTGAAAGAAGCGGCATGCCTGCACGGCAGCTCTCAAGCTCAGTAGACTGCCATGACAAGATGTCCGGAGGTGCCTCTCTTTCTTTCACCCGGCCCTGGGCCACGATGTAGTCGAAAAGCTCCCCACCCGGACAATACTCCATAATGAGATACCTCTGGCCGCAAGACTTCTTTGGGCAGCAGTTGAATTGCCGCATCTGGGGGCACAGTTGACGTGGCGTCTCTATGATCTCGTAGAGCTGAATTATGTGCGGATGCTGCACCTGGTCTCGTGATGTCGCATGCTGGCAGAATCACCCAAGTACACAGTCAGCTCAACAGGCCATGTGCGCCAGTTTGAGGATGTGAATTTCCCGCGCAACTCGTTCCACATCAGCAACATCCTAAGAAGCCATTGCTCGGTTCCACCTCAAAACCATAGCAGTCGCAGAACAAGGTCCCGGCCACAATTCGCTCCTTCTCTAGAATCTTCACGGCCACCTGACAAAGAGTCAAGCCCTCTTTAAACATGTGTCCTTGCAGCAGTGTTTTCGCTTTGTGGAGACCGCCTTCTCGCCGGTAAGGATGTGGGTTCCCAGTTTGACCTTTCCGAAGGTCCCCTCCCCGATCGTCTTGCCGAGGATATAGTGGCCTCGATTACATGCAGTCGAACTGAGGATCCTGCGTCGCACTGTGGTAGCAGGCCTTCTACAAACCCTTTGCTCGGTTTCGGGCCAATGGACTTTGCTCGCATTCCCTTGGGTGTCGCCATGGCGCCTTGGGACTTTTCGGCTAAGTGGAACGCTGCGCTGTGGTCCACCAAGCATCAGGCGGGCCCACCCGGCCACAGCGCGGCGATCATTACAAAACCCAGGTCTTGAGAGGAAGTTCCAAGCGTGTGGTATAATGCATAACGAATTTCTAGCCATGTACATTTGGTATGACCAGAGCGTCTACAGGTTTGTCTTTCGGTTCTATGTCCAAGACCCTCCGGTATTTTGCATCGAAATGCACGAGCACACTAAGCGCGCATACCTTTTTTCAAGCAATAGGTCAGTGAGCACTGCTCACGGCTGCATTAACGATACTACCGGGGATCTGCCGTTTGCAGGCCCCCAATCCATTAACCCTCACGAGCCCGAGGAGCTCTTGTTCACCACCACGAAGATCAGGATGACTGCAAGGACCGCTGCAAGCAGCAGCCTGAGTTCGCCAAGCGGAAGCTTTGCCTCGTGACGGGCGCTGTAGCGACAGCAGCTGAGAGCTTCAGCAGCCAATAAATGAACTTCGAGCCACGCCTGGCACATGCTGGACTCTCCTCTACCTGGACCTCACAGCATGGAGAGGTATGGAGCCCGTGCGCCTTTGCGAGCGGCTGGCTTGTGTCAGCTGCGCAGTGGCATCTGGGCACGTGCATTGTGTGTGCAGGTTGCAACAGCATCGGAATCCGACAGCACTTGCACCTGCAGTAGCAGCAGACGAGGATTCGGAGTGGGCTTCGATGTGGTCAAGCATGTCGCCTTGAACCTGCATGCAGTGCTTGTCTTTGAAAGCCGCTCGACCGCTCACCATGTGTTGCCTTCGCGTGGGTGGCCAGATCGACCATGGCCTCGCACTCGCTGTGCATGTGCATTCCTACAGTGCCACCACGTGCCACCCTTCTGCAAGCCAGCCTGCTGCAGACCTCGAACATCTTGTTCGATTGTTGATATCTGCAGGAGTGCAGGCTTAGCGTTTAGCGACACAGCTGCTGGCAGCACAGCCAGCTTGGATCAGACATCGGTCCGTGTTCTAGTTTTGGCGAGCAACGGTTGAGTGGAATCGTTTTTCTGAAGACGGTGCAGTGAGCACGACAAGATTAACCAGGGTCTTCTTGGAAATTGAAGGAAACGAGGCTTGCCGAGGGCGAAGCCTTTGCAAGGGAGCTGGTGCGCTGATGATGGTGACGATGATGGGGCAAATTTACATCCAGTCTCCGTGTTTTCGAGGAACGTTGGAAGTGAAGTGTCAGACCGTCTGCCATCTGCTCGAAGCCTGCTCGACATACTCGTCCACCATGGCAGCGTGAATTTCGGCTTCACCCTGTCACAGCTTCGGGAGGTACAAGAGGAATCAACGGGTTGTTATATCGGCAGCGCCTCGGAAATCAGGTTTGCTTCTTGAACTTGCTGTCGTGCAACTCCAAGCTCGGCCTCGGGAGCGTCTCAGAGGAATTTGACATGCATGGCACAGGTGCAGTCATACTTGCATTTGCATTGCACAACTGCTCAGAAGTGGAGTTTCATCTAGAGTCTAGGGTAGCCTAGGCCCTAGGCCTCTGAGCACCTGGCGCCACCGGGCATGGCACCCATCTCTACGTGCTCATGGAGCCTGGTTCAACTGATGAGGTCAAGCCCTTGGCAATGCAAATCGAAAGGAATGGTGGCCCGCCTTGCGCCGGAAGATCTGCTTTGAGCAGACTCCCCTTGCTTCCGTGTGGATACAGCGAGCTCATGCTTGCAGGGTACAGATGCGGCTCGGTGCGCGGCTGCTCTTCGCGGTCTTTTCGAAAGCCTGGAATGTTGCCTTGCGACTCGGAGCAGGGATGCCTGTTGTCTGACCTTGCCCAGCGCTTCCTCAAGGTCTGTGGTGGCAATTTCCAGCTTCTCACCTCTCGGTCTCTACCGCACTGGCCCCAGGCACTTCACGTTTGCAAGCATGCCAGCCCGACGCAGCATCTGCTGGGTGAATACCCGAGATCGCTGCTCGCTGATGCTGCCGCCGCTCAGGCAGCTAAGCTGCAAACAGAGAACGCACTGTCGGTATGCATACCATCAACCGACAAGCAGCAGCACTGGCCTTCTGCAAATGCCGCTTCCCTTCATCCACCGCTTGCTTCCCCAAATGAACGGCTTCTTCCACCTGTCTTGCACACGCACGAGCGACTACCTGATTACCTGCTGGGCGCAAGGTCAGAATGAGCACCTTCTTTCGTGACGACTGTAGCTGGACGGACCCGAGCAAGTGGGTCTGAGCAGCTTCCAGCCACCGCAGACTCGTGCGTCTCAGCGCAGGATCAATTGGGCCTCTTTGCGGATGTCTGCCGCACAACTTTGGATCTTCTTCACGGCCTTCCAGGCCCGATCCCCACGTGCTTTCTCTAGTTCAGCTGGAGTGGGCAAGGAGCGCTTCTTGGCCTCAGATACAGCGTTTGAGTCCTGCACGTAGGCCTCATTTCCAAAGTTCAGATTCTTCTGAGCAGCGAAACCGCGAAGCGTCAGGGCATCGCAAGCGAAAACGCCGGGGGCACGGCGGAGTCCCCATCCCGCGGAGTCCTAATAGACCTAGACACGCGCGGAGACTCTGCAAGTAGTACACCAGCTCAAAGGCTTCTACTAGTCGATCTGCAATGGATTGAGCCCTGACTAAAGCTGGAAAGTCAGCATCAATGCTCCCAGTGCAATGCAGTGCAAGCGGAGAGTTCAGACAAGACACCCAGGACGCTTCGCGGAAGGGCTTGATGCCTGTGGGTCGCTGGGTTCGACGTCAAATTGCATCAAATTGCGATGTTGCAATACTTGGCTCAGCCACTGGCTCCACCCGCATACGACATGGTTTTCAACAAGGAGCCATTCGCGGCAACCGTGTTGTCATGCCATGTTGGTGCCAGTTTGTACAATCCGTGCAGCTGTACCCTGCTTCAAGACGAGGCTGAGATAGGTTGAGTTTTATTAAGCCTGGAAGCCGCGAGTGACAGGAAATTTAATAATCAAAGCTGCCCATGACAAGCAAAGCAAGCCGGTCGGACGATTCTCTCGCGAGGAAAATCTCCAAATCGATGAGTGAGAAGGACGCATCAGTAGCACAGCTTGGCCGTCTACGGTCGACTTCCCGTGCAAACCTGACAGCGCAAGCCGCCTCGAGCAAAGGCTCATCGGAATAGCGCTGCCATAATTTCCGTCAGCCTTTCCTGAATGCCTATCGCGAGGGTCGACCCAAGTATGAGATAAATCCCCTTAAACAGACTTCCCCTGGTAAAGCCCAGGAGTCCGTGCTTGTGCCAGATGTCACGGACGGTCAGGCTGAAGCTGGGATACCGCGCAGGATCCACCTTGCAGCCAATACAGGAAGGAGAGCTGTTCGAACAACTGTAGCATAAAACGAAGCTCGTAACTACCGGAAGCAGAACCAAAACTCACCTTTTGCAACGCTCTTCCCACAGACAGAGAGCTTGACAGGAGTCACCTGCGTGGCTAGCACGTCTGTCCTCTATGCTTGGTGTCAAAGAACACTCAGTCCGGTTCCACGAAATCAGCCGAGAAAATTCAAGCCAGCCACGACAAGTGCCACGACTGCATGATACTTTCGTGGTTAGCTCGCATCAACACGGAACACAGTCTGCGACCCTCCCCGGATGTCAAAAAATGAAACGCATGCATCTTACTTTCAACGTCTTTCAACCGCCCAGCAGTGGTCACGGCCTGGATTGGAGTGTGTGACTTGGAGGATATAACTCAGTGTCTGCGCAGGATCTAGGGACAACAGCCTGAAGCACGCATGTCGATTGGGAAGTTTGAACACGTCAAGGCTTTGGGCCACGTGCCTGACATGGCCACAGGCCATCAACCCGAACCAACGAAGTCTTGACAATGTGCAGATAGATGAGTGCAGTGCATTACTTTTCGCGTTTTCGGGGGGCCGGGTGGATCGGGAAGCGGCTTGGAACCTACGGTTGAAACATCTTGTAACCGTGAGCTGTGGTGAAAAGCTTGAAACCTGACAGAGCAACGTGCCATCTTGAGCTGCAGGCCTGCATCTTGGTCTTGACGTTGTCTCCGGCCATGTTGAAAAACGTGAGATACGTGCCTCATGCACGCAGTCGCCGCAATCGCACAACTACGAAGCTGCAAAGCACAGATGCGATTCGTAGAACCCATCGATCCTGACTAGGTCCCCCGAGGGCCCAGCCCAGTGTTGCAGCCTCAAAAGTGAGGACATTCGCCTGGTTCTTCTTCTCCAGGCCTCTTCGCAAGGCAAAAACACTCACATTCCTGTCCTGCTCAGCCGGACGATGTCTTGAGGCTTCGGCTGCGGAGCCAGTCTAGGTGAGCTTCGAACCAAGCAGGTGCATTGGCCGGACTGTTGTCTACGGCGTTGTGCAGGAAGCGCTTCCATTCGAAGAAGGCAAAGTTCCAGGAAAAGTTCCTGACCTCATGCAGGAGATCACGTGCCACACAAAGCTCCGAGAGCCCCCTATCCTCGGTCGGTTGAGTCTCGGACCCAAAGTCCGGCCGCACCCGCCCAAGCACCTGCGAGAATTCCTTGACGAGCCTGGCACTGGCCATCGCGCTTGTCAGGAAGCGCTCTCCTCTTGTTGGCCTGTTTATGTCGTGCTGGCAATCCTTGAAATCAAGGATGCTCCAGGACGGCTTGGGGTACAATCCATCTGACTGCGATCATGTGTGCTACGGACCTGCAGTGCTGCACTCCTTACTGTTGGACATAGCCTTGTCACGCAAGACATTACGGCTCTGGTTCTTGTTCACCCACCGCGCCTGGCGCGAGATCGAGAAAGACTCCCGGTACGACGAGATCTGCTGTTGCAGGCCTCGAAAGCACAAACAAGTGATCTTAAGGTGCATAGTACTTCCTGTGCCAAGCATGAGTCTGAAATCCGTCTGTGGCAGCCACCCATATGCACGCCAAAGCGTTCGCTCCATCCGGTGGCAGCTACCTGGTTCTGTTGCACAGCGTGCAGGTCTAACTCTCACTGTCTCACTGATGTGCGCTGCCGCAGCCCGCAGTTGCCTCTCCGGCAGTGCTCAGGGCAACGGCGGTGAAGAGACCACCGTGAGGGCCGAAGCCAAGATCTCGGAACTGCTGGAAGAGCAGCATGGCAGCTGGAACCTGCCATCGGCGCATCACTGAGAATTGTGGCATGCTGTCACTGTGGCGGTGCTGTGAGCACCTTCATGCCCCAATGAACCGTTTCGTTGAGCAGCGTCACCTATCAGAGGCCCGTACACACAGGAACTCTTCTGGATCGGCATCGATCATGAGAACCATTGTTCACCATGACAGGACACCGCTGGGCGCCAGTATTTAGCAAAGCCGAGAGGTGTCCATGTGCCATCGACGGAGATCAAGTGCGTTCGGCCCATGATCCGAAGCCTTACAAAGTACGGCTGATCGAGACTCCGGGAACTGGCATGGCGAATGCCGGACTCGATTGAGGTCCTGACGCTTCTATCATGCTGCAGCTGTGCTGCTGCGCAGTCCAGCGAGCATAATTTAGGTACTGAAGGGTGAGATACTTTGTAGCACCTCGGGACTCCAACGTGTCTGTGCGGCATTGCTGCACTGTTACATGCAGACATACATCACGAGATCTGCTCAGGCACCTCCTTTTGCCCCATTCAGCGCAAGCATCCCATATCCAGCAGCCGTTGGGAATGGCAGGGCGCCATGGTCCTTCCCTCCCATGAGGCTTCAGAGCTCCTCGTGTTCCCTATGCGGTGGTTACACGGCCAATAGAGGACCTTTGCGAAAAAAGACCGTTCAAGAACAGGTTCCACCTGTAAGCACTGGGCACTATCTTGACAGTATCTTCAGACTCAGAAGAGATATTATAGACTTAGAGCTTGTTGGTCTGTGGGCACTCTGGTCAGGGATTGCATGAGAGACCTGTCTCTGGCTGGCGCAAGAAGTTGCTCTCGTTGCTCAAACAAGCTGTGCATCCTAGGAATGACTCTATGGCGCACGTTTCTGCACCGGCCGACAGCCGCTTTGCATAGCGCCTTTAGGCGCCGCTGTAGTACCAAAGCACATCCAGACAGCAAGAGCCTCAATCTGACAGCTCCTTCAAGGCTGTCTTCAGGTTCTGAATTTCCTGCTGCCGAAGTGCCTCTCTCTTTGCAGCATCGCTCTCATCGGACAAGCACTGCTTCGCGAGCTCCTCAAAGTACTTGTTGGCAGAATCCAGCTGCGTCTCCAGAGACGTCCGGTCTGCCTGCCTCTGAGCCACAAGCTTGCTCTCTTGCTCTTTCTTCTCTTCCAGATGTTGGGAGTCCATCCTTTTCTCAGCCTGGTCGACCCGGGAGTCCTCGATGAACTGCCTGAACTCTTTGTCGGAGGCCTGCTCGGCAGCGGACGTCTCTGCCTCTAAGCGGGAGAAATCCCCGAGAAGTGTCTCCAACAGGCTGATGATCTTCTGCTGCTGCTGCTGCTGCTGCGTACCCGCAGCCGCCCTAGCAGCCTGCAGAAACGAAGTGCCGCTCTTCTCGTAGAAATCCTGCAGGATTCCCATTGCCTGGGCGACTGCATCTTGCGCCCCTTTGGCATCTTTAATGGTCGCCTTGTTCTTGGCCTTTTCTTTCTGGCGGAGCTCCGTGGCCTCAGACATTGCGGCGCTAAGCTCTGTGATCTGGGCCGAGGTCGCAGCGATCCCTTCAGTGACTTTGGCCAGCGAGATCTGCAGCTGGTCAAGCTCCGCCTGCAAGGAACAACACCAAGGCCCCCCCCCGCAAGTTGCCTGCCCACAATACGTAAATCCCGACGATCCGAGCTATCTGAAGACTACAGACTGAGACGGCATGACTGCATGGGGCTTTTCGCAACCGGGCCGAAACGCTTTCCAAAGCATCTGTCTGCTTTGCACGAGTTCGGTTGTTGCCGGCCAGCTCCTTCTTGCAGAAGGCCTGGTGCTCGATCTCCGAATCTGCAGTAGCTTCTAGGTTGGCCAGAAGCTTTTCCAGCAAGCCTTTGATACTGCTCAGATCTGACTTGTGGGGTCCAGCATCGGAGAGGGCGTTGATCTTCTGGAGCACGAGACTCAAGTCCTGACTCTTCAAATCGCGAGCACCCGCCTCAAGAATCCTCAAGGCTGAGTCCACTTGGGAGGGCGTCTTGACGGAGCGCAGTGATGCCAAGGACGTCGAGACGCGCAGAAGTCCTGCAGGTGCCATACTGCAGCTGGTGGAGCTAGCTCATGCGGGCATGTTCGACAGAGGCCGGAGATGTCTCGAGCATCCTTGCATCTAACCTAGTTTCTTGGCACCCGGACCCAGTCCTGCCATGTGCTTCTCGGCCGAACCGGCAACAGATTTGCCACTGATGATCTCTGTCGCCATGCTGATCGCCTCGAGTTCCTCAGTCCTTAAAGCCTGACTTTTCTTAAACGCATCGGCTTTGTCTCTGCACTCTGTCTGCAAGTCCTGTCGGTACTTGGTGTCGGCGGCCAACGTCTTTTGGGTCTCCTCTAAATCTGATTTTGCCGTTGCTAAGTCTTGCTCGGCTTTGCCCTTGAAGAGAGTCTTTTCGGCTTTGGCTTCCTCCGAGGTTGCGAGCTGGTTTTTCAGGCTCGTCATCATGAGCTCGTGCGAGCTCTTTTTGGAAGCCTCCATCTTCTCAAGATCTGCCTTTTCCTCCCCAAACTTCTTCTTCAGCTTTTTGAGCATCTTAATCACACCCCCGGACTGGAAATCATACCCGCTCTTCTCCGGATCAGCCTGCAGGAAGGCGGCCAGTTCCTTCTTCACCTCCACTGGCGTGGAAGTTTCAGCTATCGATATGGATGCAGAGGACTGTGCCAAAGCTGCTTTTGCTTGAGGGCGGCTAAAATCCTGATCCTTCAAGGTTTGGGTTGCGCGCCCGATCGCATCAATCGACTCTTCGTACTCTTTCAACGTGGCGGAAAAGTCTGCTGCCTCCTGAGCACGCAAAGCCTTGGCGTCATCGGTGTCTTTGCTGGTTGTGAGGATGTCTTGCGAATGCATCTGCAGCTCCTTTCCGAGCTTGGAAATCGAAGCCTGGAGCTTCTCGATGTCAGCCGCGAGCTGCTCAGAGCTGTCCTGACCCTCTGAAATAGCAGATGCTTTCTCATCCAAGGTCTTCTCACAAAAAGCAGAGAATTCAGCATGCTGGCTCTTCTCCGCATCCATTTCAGCAATTCCGTTGGTCTTCATCTCAGCCAGCGCTTTCAAGACCTTGTCAACTGGGGAAGCCTGTGCTGACTGCACCGCTGGCAGCAGCAAAAACAGCACCCAAAGCATTGCGCTGCGCTGACTGCGCTTCATTTCTGACGGCCTACGGCCACGCGGCCGGAGCCGGCTGAAGCCAAGGCTTAGCCCAGGCGCAAGCCTAAGGCTACCTTGAGACTAACGAAGGCAACAAGGCAAAGCAAGGCAAAGTATACGAGGCAACATCCACCACCCCATCCCCATCCCAAGCTGCAGCATCCACATGTGCTTCTGACTGCACTGGTTTTAACGATCCGGAGACCAACGGAGGTGCCAAGAGCAGCTGGCGCATGGTGCAGCAGCTCTGCTTTGAGAGACTTTGAACATTCTGGAACTCCGGTCTGGACATGTCTGGACATCCTGTCGGCGTCGTGAACTGCACCTTCGAGCGTGATGTCATGATTCCACCATGTCGCCGAAGCAGATGTCGGCAGATCTCAGGAATCCTGGCGCACCAATTTGACTTCCGCTGTGCCTTACAGTTACTGCAGTTGGGACCTGAGATCGAACCAGGAAGCCGCCATAAGCCTGCAGCACGGCTAAGGTCTTGAATCATCTGCTGCTCTGGCTGACGAGTTGTAAGTTGCTGACATCCTTCGTGCTGCTCTTTTCCTCCGTCATTCTTTGTTGACACCTGGGCGGTGGTATGCCCTACTTGTACGGCAAGCGGAACAGGCCCAAGACCAAGCCCCGTACTCCTGCAGGTGGCGTCGAATGTCAGCATTCCTTCCACCCGTCGAAGCTCAACAGCTCAGCCACTGTTCCCCCGATTAATGTTTAATGTTGCCACTTAGTAGAATCACTGTCACCGCGCACCGCATCGCACTGCTCCCCATGTCGGCCTGGGCTCCAGCTTTGCAGCCTCGCGCAGGTCCTCTTTGGCCTTCTGCAATCGATGCATGACCGCAATGAGCGCTGCCGACGACCGTGGGGCCTGCTGCAACAGCCCGCATCCAAGGCCAGCTAGGCCACGGCGGTAGAGGGCCTGGCTGGGAGCATCCTTGCATGCAGGTTGGCTCTGTCTCGCAAAGCAACGGCCTTGGAGTTCTTTGGGTGCAGAAGCAGCGCTGCTTCGGCATGATACCTTGGCATCGCTTGCATTTGCTCGTGCAATTCTAACTCGGGAGCTACTCGTACAAACATTTCTGGCATGCCAACTTCTTTCTTGACTCAACTGGTGCCGACGACAAAATTGCCTCGAAACTTTTGCTGATCCCAACAACTGCGGCTCTGACTTCTGGCTCCTATGGGCAATGCTACTATAGCATAAGTGACCGGCCGTGCGGATTGGTGATCTTCCAGCTTGAGCCTTTGCAAGAACATCAACTAAGCGATGCATGTGCAGCATTTGCCAATGCAGCTCGGCCCAGCGCATGCACTGCGAAATGTTCAGTTGGCAAGCCAGCGCCTGTCAACGTCTGAATGCAGCTCTTCTACTGTCTGGCACCTGGCACAGAACAGCCGGGAGGGATCGCGCGCCAGCGTCTTTCTCGACTCGCTTCCTCAGCTTGACATTCTTTGAAACTGCCCACGGCAACAGCCCAAAAGGCTTCCAAGGCTGCGTCGAATGGCATCTGACCAGACACCGTCTTCAGCTCGCGCATCCGCATCTGCCTCGAAGCCAGAGATGCCATTGGCACCTCTCGGCGATTCCCTCAAACCGGCCTCGAAGCCCAGGAGCTCCAGTGCCAGCAAATACGAGCGCGCCGCCTGCTCCAAAGTGCCAGCCTGGAAGCACGGCAGCACCATGGGCGCACGATTCCGAACTTCAAAGCTAGAAGGGCCGGTTCTCCTGCCTTGAAGCAGGTATTGCCCTCCTCCTTAGCTTTGGTGGCCTGCACCAGCCTCTCCTGGAAAAGGCGGGGTGGAAAGATAGCTGTGGAGAGTAGGCAAGGACAAGCCCACCAGACCTCTGCCGACAGATCCTCTCGGCACACCTCGGCCTCTGTAGAGGGCACTGTGTCAAGAAGTTCCAGCCTCAGCTGCCAAGCTCGCTCAAGCTTCTGAACCTACTTCTACGTCTTCCGGACTGGGCCCACAGCTCAAAGTAGAGGACCCGCTTGCTCTCAACCAGGTTGGCACCTCAGGATCTCCAACCATAGAGACGGTCGAGCAGACACCGGCTGCAGCCGCCTCCTGCGACCGGGGCATTCCCAAAGGCCATCTCGGGGTGGACCTGTCCAATTTTCTGGGAGACGCAGCTCAGAAAGTACGATTTTCGTCGCTGCTGCCGTCAGTGCGGCGAACTCACCGCGCTTCATGGAGCAAAGCGCTTGCCTAGGCTCAGCTTCACGGGCAGCTGACTCTTTCCTTCACCTGAGGCCGCCGCTCCCAAGCTGGTATGACTTCCCCTGCAGATTGCAGCCACATCCGACACATCCCAGTCTATGCTGCTTTGGTGTCGTCGACGACACAGGGCCTTCTCCGAGAGTGAAGGAGAACGGCTCGTTTCTACCTGGCTCCGGCGCCCCTCAAAACTCGGATACAGGCTGATACGTCAGTCGGGATGGAGCATTGTGACGAGGTCCCCTAAGCCTATATTTTTAAGCCGCCCGATAAACCTCTCACACAGGGTGCATTGACTTCCAACACAGCTCCTACCTCATCAAATCGATGCACGGACCTCTCGAGTCATCTAAAAGTGCGCCGTCAGAATCTCCCAAGCGGCATGTGTAGTGCAGCGTGACCTGTGCTCAGCAAGGATCCTGTAGTGTCAAAGTGCACTCAACTCTGGGCAGTCTCCAAGTAGCCGACGCGATCGCCTGTCTCCGGAACTCTTCCACCCGCGTCGCCCGCAGAGAGAACCTCGAGCTCTTTAATGGTCCCACACTTTGTCAGCTTCTGATTTCGTTGATGTCGGTGCCTCCTTGGACCATTTGCCGTTGCACGGCAGATCGTCCATTGGTGGCAGGCGCTGTGGACAAACACATTGGTGTCGCGGGTTTTCGTGGCTTTGCAGCGGGCTTGGGCTCCTGACTATGTACATGGCATGTGCTGTGCAATTTTTCAGACTGAAAAGCAGCTGCCCCTGACATGATTGCTCTCCGGGGTCACGATTGGTTAATGTCGCTGAACCATCTCTTGGTTTTTGAACGCCATGGGACATCCGAATTAGTAGCCGCAAAGCAACACTGCGTCGGGGTACAGTGCAGGGCTTCCAAAGACGCTGTTTTGCCTCAGGCAAATCGATGCAGACCAAGGCGACCAAGGCATCGTTGGCAAAGCCGCGTGGCATCATTCGGGACTGACAAAGAGGCGAAAGGCACATGAGCTCACATGCACATCACTGCATTGCTCATCGATAGAAACCCCGCCTGACCCAAAGGCTGGTGGCGGTGAGCGGCTTCGCCTGGAGCTCGAGCAGCTCCTTGAGATTGAGAGCGTCTAGAGAATGCCAGACAATGCCAGACAGCTCGAGCCGTCCTCGGTTAGAAGAGCCACCTGTTACAAGCGCGGACAGGATCGCAAGTACAGAAATGGCACTGTGGGAAATCTATCTTCTAAGCACATCTTCGGCTCGAGAACAACAACAGTAGTCGGAGTGCTGACTTTTGTCTGAAGTCGATAGTCGTGAGATCAGTTTAAAGAATGTTGCGAAGCCAGCTGAAGCCTGTAAAAATTGCAACATCATGGAAAATAATGCAACCCAGACACATCTTCGGCGAGGACAAGGCATCGCCGTTGTTGTCGTTCGAGCACTGCTTGCAGGTGAGCCTTTGCGAGGCTGACTGAGGGCATCAGGGAATGCGCAAAAGCACCCCACTAGATCATGCATGCCATGCTAAGCTCAAAGCACTTCTCTTGGGACTGGCTTCTTCCTTCCACTGGCTCGTCTCGTCAGGGATCTGGGGCTCTTCTGGCTCAGCCTGGCATCTCGAGAAACGTGGCCACTGACAATTCAAAGTCCATGCCGCATGCCATAGTAGCCTGCGGCTGTGCTTCGCACTGGACGCCTTGGTCCTGGCACGGGTCGCAAGCGCGCCACGGGCGCCAGGACTTTTCGCGTGTCTCCCTTGGCCTTGGTTTCAGACCGCCGGGCGACGGCGCCTCACAGCTCTGGAGCTCTCGGCTGCCGCTCTGTCTCAACCCTCGCCTGTGACGATGGATTTGGGCCGCTTTTGCTGAATTTCCTGACTGGGCCGCATTCCTATCGTATTGAAACTCCGACAGTATCTGTGGTCCGGGCAGCATCAACATCCGCATCCTCGGCAGCCCAGTGCTACTACAAAGCTTACTGCCGGTTGCCCCGGCTGTGAAGGACCCTTCCAGGAAGGCTCTCGGTAACGGCATCACCCATGATTTCTAACCGAAGATCCAGTACGCTGTCTGTAGCTGTTTGGGGAAGGACCATTGAGGCTGGACTACGTCGGCACGCTGTTGAGAGGCCTTTGGCAACAGATACGAAGAACTGAAATCCTGGTTTTCTGACATCGAAACAACAGGCGCGCACAAAACGCAACAGCTTGGGCCGGGACCTCAATCTCATGCCAAACCGTCCTGGCGCAGCATTTCTGCACACCCACCCTTGTGGCAAGCGAATTGACATGTTGCAGCGTCGTCCTGGCAAAACGCCTCTGCCTCTGGCCCAGCTTCTGGCGAGGTCGTGGCGCCTCCTGTACTTCGTTGCCTGAGCAGGCACGAAGGGGTGCACTTGGCTTCTTGCCTAAGGTCGGAGGACCTGATGCAGGCACCACCGCCTGGGGAGGCGAGGCCCGCCAACCTGCAGAAAACACAGCACAAGGGTTTTGTTCAGGTTGCACGTCCAGGCTTCCCGCCTATCTCCAACGGTCCCGGAGACTCCTGGCGAATCATGTCTTCATTTGCATGAGTTTCCAGCAGAAGCCCGCGAGGGTTGGGTTGGAGGTTGGGTTTCAGCTTATTCGCCATTAGCCATCTGATGCCTTCGTACTGTGAGACTTTTCGACGGCTGTTCAGAATCCCTCGATTACAGCTGTCTTGCTTGGGAGATGCTGGGGGAGCGTCGGATGGCCTTGTTGTGCATCATCGCATTCTCCAAGTATTTGATGCGGGCCTGTCAGTAACATCTTCTCACTTTTCCGAAATATTAGCAACATGCAAAAGCCGGAGAACCGAAGCTTGGGGTTCACTCGCGAAAAGGTGAGAAAAACAACAGAAGCTTTGTGAAGTCTTGGACAAGTCGTTAGCCGAGCCTTATGGGCCACACTACGAAGGTGCGAAATTTGATATGTCCTGTTCCTTCAGAGGGCATCGCCAGGGCTCTTGTTGCAAGATGGTACAGCGGCCGAAGCCCCGAGTCTTCATCTGTCTCTCGTGGATTCAGATCGTACTTCATGCCCGGCCTTGAGCGAGTGCAGAACGCAGTCCCGCAGCAAGGGCGACAATCCGTCGTGCTGATAGACCTGCGAATGACAGCAGCAGGAATGCATGTTACGCTAAGCTCGCTGCAGATGGTTGGCCTGAAGCATGGAGTCTTCACCATTCCAAGGGAAATCGCCATCTTTGGGCAACTCCAACATATGTGGACTGGACCTGAACTTGTGACAACACTGAAGAACGATGACGATTGCAATAGATTGGTGGAATGTGAAACCATGGAGTGCTTACATCCGCACCTCGCTCGACTTGTCCGGTTTGAAACTGTCTTCAGCTCGTTCAAGGGCGCGTCTGCCTCAAAGCAGGCCGGACCCAAGCCTGAGGCCTGCACACCGCGTAGCCTCTTCAGGACTGCCTTCGCAAGGCACCGGTTTGAAACCGCGTGAACCTGCAGCTGCCAAGAGCCACGGAGAAGCAAGATGCGAGCATAGTCGGGCCCAGGCCCATTTTTCACTGCCGGCTGGCTGGAAGTATGAGACCAGACAATCAGACCTCAAATTGCGAGGAACGGCTGCCGAAATGCAAGTTCTGCAGGTATCTGGGCACAAAGCTCTTCAATGTAGCGCAGCCTGCTTTTCACAACTCCCCGGAGCATCGGAAACAACATCTTCCTTGCACAAGTTGACACCCATTTTGCCCAAGCGCATGCTGCCTCAACGTGCCAAATATGTCGCCGGTGTTTCTGAAGAGCAGGCGACCCTGTGCCGAGCACTCTTCGCGAAACCATGGTTCCAAATCTAATTCCGTCCAGGCCGCCACCATCCAAATATCATCAATCAGCAGCATGCCGCGCACCTGCATGGCAAACGTGCTTCCATGTTGTCGCGATGCTCATCCAGACGACCTCTTTTCCATCGTTTTGGCGCTCTTCGTAGATGATCTGGTGCATATCATCCAGCCAGATCTGGTAACAGCCTTGGCCGAGAAAGCGTTGGGACGGCGACACAAAAAGGGGAGGGAGAGATCGGTGCTGAGGAGCCGGCTGCCAGGCTGGGAGCTCCAGACTCCCAGCGCTTTCGCGAAGCCGCCCTGGCAGGCAAACGGAGGGATGCAGCCAAGACGTCCCCCCATCCAAGGCCCATGCCTCCATGAATCTGACTGGGACATGTGTGACCCAGAAGGATCACGAGGACTAGGAAAACTAGATGCTATCAGTAGAGTTGGTGGCCCCTGCAGTCTGTTGCCTTTTATGGGTGGCGAAAGCTTGGGATGGTCTGTGCATTTCTGGACTGCCAGCTCGAGCCCATGGAGGCTGCGGGAACCTGGAAGCGACGACCCTGCCAGAGGTGCTGCTGATCACAAGTCATCGGTCCGTAAGCGGAATGTGTCGAACGAATTCTTCCGAGCTTTCAACTCTAATCGCGATGCCTCCGGAAATCGAGGCTGCAGCCGTCTTTGGAACAACTCTTGACTGGTGACACACACAAAACTGCAGTGCCGCAAAGCAGTATTCCACTTTGGCACAGCGGGATGCAGGTTCCCTAGTCGTGCAGGAAAAAAGCACGGAGGCACTTCAGTGAAGCGGCACCGCGCCCGGCAAAGCCTGTGCAGCCGAGCATGTGCTGGTTGCACATGTGACTGTTTGCCCAGCAAGGCCTCATCTCTTTGCCTTTGTCTTGGTCGTTTTTTCTGCTTGGTTCAGTCGCTTATGTTCCGCCTGCCAGGTGATTCTGATAACAAAAGCTGCAAACAGCCTTTTGCCAGCAGCTTCTGGACAAGTGCAGCTTGGGCCCATCCTTGCCGAGGTCTTCAAACACCTGGCAGGCAGCAAACAAATTCACACACACACACACACACACCCGCACACGCAAAAGAAATGAAGACCGAACATGAGAGAAGCCAAAAGAGAAACAGAGAAATGCAAAAACCTAGATGCCTAACATCCCATAAGGCCCAATGTAAAAAGCAAGCTCGCCGACCTCTTCGTCCCCTTCTTCAACGATCTCTGCCCAATTCTTTCGATTGATGTTGTCCTGAGTGAACTATGGAGGTTTCGGATTCTAATCACCGACATCGATCGTGCACTTGCAAAATAACTTCTTAGGTGTCGGCGAAGTTTAAAGGCTGCAGAGGCCGTGGGAAGAGTTCATCCTCATCCTTGTCCCGCTCCCGATCACGCGATGGCAAGCTTGAGGCTCTGTGTGATGCGCCTGGCGCGTGTCGCGCTTTCTGCTCTCTGGCGGAGCCACGACGGCTGAGCCAGTTCTCTAGGGTCGGTGACGCCGATCGCTGGCGGGAGGGCTGAATCCTGGGTGGGTTCATCTGTGCGACCACTGCGCGCCAGGCTGCGGTTCTTGGGCTGTCCCCCTGACGGAAAGCCGATTCGGGCAAAGCAGGTCTTTCTGCTGACCTTGCTCTGAGAGCTGCAGGTGGTGGCTGCTTATCGGATGCCTTTCCGAAGCGCTTCGCCAGCCAATCATCCAGCTCCGCATCCTTGTCTCCTGGCACAGGGTAGTCCTGCTCCGCGGTCCAGAGCCCTGCATTCCTGCAGGCCCAGCCAGCCGCAGCTGCCATCTCCACACGTTGCCGTGAAGCATTGGCGACCATGTTGAAAACGTTTTGACCGAAGCTCTTGGCAAGGCGCGTCCACATCACAGCTGCTGCGGAATGAAGCAAGCAGATACCTTCAGTTGCATGCCCTAAGGCCTGCTGTACCAGCGGCCGTTGTCCCCAGATCTCTGGGCTGTTTTCGAGTCTGGCGGCATTATCCTTGAAGGACACGGTTGTCAGGCCGCACCAGTCTAGAAAATTGCAGGCATTCACCATGCCCTTCTTCTCCAGTGCCTCATATGCCCATTGAGCGTCAATCACTCCGTTCAGGTTGATGCCAAATTTGTGGGCAAAGACCGTGGCATGCGTCGTGGCATCTGTCGTGATTTTGGAGGAGTTTGCGTTGGTAAAGAATGGCACTAAGCTGTACAACTGCTCACCCAGTTGCATTACGTCGAACATGAAAACTTGGAGCCCGTTCGTATTGTCGCTGAAAGCCACGACCAACAGGCACAGCTTGCCAGCGGCGGCTCTCAAATTCCAGCCGTGGCAATCCATTGCGATCATGGCACCCTGCGGCAAATGGTTTAGCCGACTTGCTGCTTGTTGCAGGTTCATCTGGTCAGCTATGAGGTAGACTGCTGCAGGCTGGCCGTCAGGAAGCCGGTGCTGCCATTGGCCAGACATCTGCACTGCATTTGGAACGGGAGGCCGCTTTTGTGGCCGTGGCCCGAAAGGCTTGGCCCGCCTTGAGAAGCCTGATGGCGGATCAGTCGAGTCTCCTCTCTCTCTCGATGTCCTGCGCTCTGCGGAAGTTCTTCTTTCCGCTGAGGTTCTTCTCTCTGCAGACGTCCGGCGCTCAACAGACTGCCTGGGTGGAGGCGACCTCCCCTCAGCCTCAAAGCGTCTCTCCAGGGAGTCGCGCCGCTTGGCCGCCTGCTCCGGGTCAATGAAGGAGGGCCGCCAGGCATCTTTCGAACTGCTCCGACCCTCGGCTGGGAAGAAAGGCCCCGGCCGGGCGGGACCACTTTGGGGCCCCTCGAAGCCGCCGTTGGGACTGGAAAAACCCCGGCGGCCTCGAGGAGGCGAACGGCCGCGAGCTGAAGAGCCCTTTCCACCAAAGTCTCCCTTCTCACCTCCTTTTCCCATTCCCTTGTCCCCCTTAATGCCCTTCTGGTTGTTTTGGCCATTCTGAGGCATCATGCCTGGAATCTGACTGAAGAGTGTGTTGGGATTCAATTGTCCACTCTGCACCTGCGCTGCATCCACATAGGCAACTGCCACCGCACCGGTCGACTGCATCTGATGCCACTGGCTCGCAGGAACGATACAGGGCATGTAAGACATGCCGGGCTGCATTTGCGCATTGGGGTTGATCATCACCCCTCCGGGGCCTCCTGGACCGCCTGGGCCCCCTGGCCTTGGGCCTCCTGGACCTCCTGGACCTCCTGGACCTGGTCCAGGACCGCCTTGATTTGGGCCCTGATTGCCTGGGCCTGGGCCTGGGCCAGGGCCTGGACCCGGACCCGCGGGGCCGCCTGGGCCACCGCCTGGACCACCACCCGGGCCACCGCCCGGACCTCCGGAACATGGGCCGGGAGCGCCGCTCTGGTTACCAGGTGGCATCATTCCCCCGAACATCATGACCGGGCGCATCATCGGAACTGGTTGCATCGGCGGCATTTGTGCAATGGACACAAGGCTACTTCGCCGCACCTAGTTTTCGCACATCGAACGAGCCCTCAGGGGTCTCGATGGCGAATGTCTAGCGGCACGCAAGGGAGCGCCGCAGTCTCGAGCCGACAAGATGTAACAGTTTGTCGCACACTCACGATGCATCTTCATCCGGTCTTGTGAACATCCAACAAGAGAAAGTGTGAACGCACATGCCCTCACCCGACATTAGCCAATGCGTCGCTCCAGGAAGAATTGTCTTCCACATTTTTCTTTTCGGCGCATGATTGCTTAGCAAGAGCATCCGGTCGAGGAACGTGTCGCGATGTTTCTGCGATGAGCAGGAACAATGCCTATAGTGATTCAGATATCGCGCCCACTGCTGCAAGCTCTTTGGGACAAACAAGGCTCGAAGCGGCGGTTCTAGATTCTATACTACGCAAAACAAGCCGACGTCAGAGCAGTCTAGTCACAAACTCCCAGCAGGTTCGAACATCGGATGGCGAGTCTCCCAAGTTGATATTGCACTGGTACACCACCCCACTTCCGACAAAAGCTACCGGCACCTGTTTCGGTTGAAACAAGTTTCATAACTGAGTAACTTGAAGTCCATCTGAGTAACTTGAAGTCCATCTGTCCTCGTCGGGGGTCCTTGGGACGCCCCTGCTTGCCGCATCACTAACTAATTTTCCCGCCCGTAGTGGGTGCATGAATGTGTATCATCCTTTGGAAAATGTGGTGGCACCGTGGAATCCAGCTGCGAAGCTCTTCTGCTCTTAGGAGGACCGGTTCGGATATTCCTGAGTCACGACAGCTGCTCCAGTTACCGAAGAAGAAGTGACGGGAAACCACCAACTGTCTTGCGATAATTGCATGGCACGACAACAACAAACACACTAGCCAAGAAATCGGTGCACCCAGCGCCCCACTCTCTCAGCTATCGAAGCTCAGCCGAGCCCTTCATCATTGAAGAGCCCACTTCGCTGCATGGTGTGAGCATGCGCCTCAAGACTTGCTCATGCAGGAACACATTCAATGGTTCTGGCAAATAACTTCTGCAACATTAGCCACAGTGCCGACACGCCTACCTGCAGAGAAAGCCGCTGTATATTGCAACTCCGACCAAGCTATACCCGACCTGAAAACGCTGCATGACATGCACAAAAGCTTCACTATCTCTTGCGCCTCAACCAGCTTGGCGGAGGCGGCCGCATTCGCCAGCCGCGGAAGGCGATGAAATCTGAGCCAACACGGGTGAGTCCGAGTTGCAAGCCAATTTGTCTCCGCAACTTGGGCAGGAATTCGGTGCATATGTGCTGAAGTCAAAGTCGCTCTTCTGTCCGATCTTCCACTTGCAGATTCCATTTCGTTGAGGTAGTGCTCGCAATCTACCAGCCCCGAGACTCATCCCAAGCAACTAAACCGATAAGCATGCATGCAGAGGCCCTTACTTCTTGCGGATGCGTCCGGCAAAATCGAAGATGCCATTGTCGTGCCTTCGCGGGGGCTTCAAGCGAGCTCGAGCTGCGGAACGACAAACTTCAGAGCAAGGTGCACTGAACTAGATTGGTGGAATCATGTGGAATCTAACAAATCACAAACCTGGGCCGTGAGAAGTTTGGAAACTGATAGCTGCTGACATACCTTGATTCTAGCTCAAGTTACACCTGCTTGTGGCAGCTCGTGGTATGGAAGGTCCTTCGGCTCTTCGCCCGAATCCTCAAAGCAGCCAAGGCCGTGGCATGAAAGAGTAGTCCAACCAGATCTGCTCGTGAGGCCACTCGTACTGCGAACAGCACGCAGGCATAGAAACTGCTTCACGAGAGATCTCCCAAAGTGGCCAAGCTGCCTCCAACGGTGACGTTCCTGCCTTCTTCCAATCAGGCACAACCATCACGAGATCCTAGCCAAGTTTTTGGAGTGCACAGTTGCTCCAAGTAGTTGCGAGGAGGAGTCAAAGGCACTCCTTACCCATCTTGGGTCCGACCTGCGCAGACCAAATCTGGCTGCCACTGGCACAAAAGTTGTTTGACATGCCGCCATGCGCCGCCTTCGTGTTCATGAATGCACGGATTCTTGGAAATAGACCTGATCGCAGCCGCACACGAATCGAACCATAAAATTCGCTGCAGACACAACACGAACTCGTGCCGCCAAGCGTCGTTCGTCGAGAAGATGATGTGGATTCTCCATTCCCTCTGCCTCTGCTTGAGCTGCACACGGGAAACTCGCAAAGTATTAAACAGTGTTAAACAGATTCCTCTTTGTTGGCGGCATTTGGCAGCCTTGCGGAAGCTGGCAAATTCGCCCTTCTTCCGCCTCTCCTGTCGAAGCTCAGGCTTTTCGTTGCCGTCGATGCGACGGTGTCCAGAAGAACAGGAAAAAGAGCAAAGCACATTGATCGCACTTCAATCCATGGTTGACTTGAGTCACGGTTTGTTATGACCAAAGTGCTCTCGCCAGGGTTCCGCAGAGTCTGTAGTAAACATCGGTAACGCTGTTTCTCCGAGTTGTTTCGGAAATCCACTACACATCAGACTGGCGTGGTTGTTGAAATTAAATTTAAGATGCCAGTAACTGTTGCCACCCACACTCTCCCACAGACGGCTCCCTGGGCGTGTTATTGCCGCCCTTCGAACGCAGCCAAGGCTCGGCTCGAGACCCCTTAGTCGGGTCGGCGCGCAAAAAGTTCCCAGGAAAAAGATCCCAAGACAGCAGCTTATGCCGATACCTTATGCCGATACCTCATGACAATAATTGAGCCAGGGCCAATTGGCTGGAGTCGACACCCACTGGCACGGCAGCGAGTGTGTCCCCGCGCAATTGCCGCAACAGAGGTCCGTGGGGCAGCAATGGGCGAGTCTTCTATGGACAATTCACGCACAGCAGCTCCTCCTCCCCCTTCTTTCTTTTTTTCTGCCGGGGCTTAGGGGTCACTGTCGTGGCTCAGGCTTTCAGCCCGCCCGTCCACCCCCTGGTTTATTGAGTGGACGGCTTTGGAGTGCCACTGACTGCTGTCCTCCTCCCCTCTTTGTCTTGCTTGCAATCGGACAAAGGAGCGCGCAAGCACCCCTCGCGCCCGCAGGCGCACCGGTCTCCAGGCCTGTGTGACACCGGTAGAAAACTGAGGAATTCCACTTTCTCTCTCTCTCTCTCTCTCTCTCTCCATCCCCATCTGCACCCCGGGAAAGCAAGCACGGAGCAGGTTTGAGAGTGGAAAAGCAGGCACATCGCGGACAAAGAGTGGCTTGCCGGCTCAGCAAACGAGCCCTGTTCCCATGTCGCACGTGAGGCTCGATGAGAAGGCCGCCAAAGAGCGTGTGCCGTGGACAGAGAGACATGGGAGCAAGCAGAGCCAACCCTCTGACAAAGCCGCAAGGCTCCGTAAAGCATCGATGGGCTCAGAAGGATCGCACTTTGTCACGGAATGACTCAGACGCGTCCTCGTAGTCTGCGACCTTTCGTGGGTCTCGGCCTGGTGAGAGTGATGGAAAGCAGAGACGAGTTCGAAAAATGCAACCGAGGCCGCTGCGAGTGGAGAGATGCAACAAGGAGCCCTGTCCAATCTCAAATTGGTAGAGAGCCTGCTCAAGAGACAATGAACACGGCCAACAGTCGCGATTGAAGTACATCCGGATATGTTTACTCAGGCAGCCATGGTTGGCTTAAGCAGCTGCGCCTTGCTGTTGTCCTCAAGGACGCCGGCTGGCCTGGCTGGAACAACGGAAGTTACCAAGGTTGATTTGCCACCCGAGACGGAGTCTCCACGACCAGACTTCGACTTGCCGTTCTCGTCTTCTGAAGCTGGCCGGTCTCTTAAGACAAGCAAGCCAGGCCCGTAGAAAAGCTTCTGATGTGGAATGGGAATACCGGTGGCCGCCTCCACTAAGCTCTTGAAGTTCGACCTGCACCAAGCGCTCCGCTCTGCGACAAAAGCGTCTTCCAAAGGCACACTCGTTGAGGTCCCGGCTCAACCCTATCGCCTTCAATGATAACAGTCGAGCTTGCACAGGGGCTCATCTGCAACGGCAAGCACATGCTGCAAGATGTTTGATGGTAGTTGTTCGTTGCAAGCTTCGAAATTTTCCTGGCAAGCACCGAACCTGTGATGCCGAGATCGCAGAGAGTTTGGCAGCGCTCTGAACATGCTCCTGGGCAAGTCAGGTAACAACAAACCTGGGCTCAGAAGACTTACTGAACCCTTCCCCCAGCCAGTCCTGCTCTGTGGACGGCATTGTTGCAGATGCCTTCTCATCGCATGTTTCTTGCAGCTAAACTGTACTGGTGATGAGGCCACAGACCACCGCCTCCGGCACCGAGCCTGGAAGTTCAGCTGCCTGTACAAGCGCGACCCGAAAGCATCCACTCTGCCATCACTGTCGAACTCCCTGCCTCCCGCTCGGCACAGAGTTGGCCATTTCGCCGAGCAAGCAAGGACCGTAACTGCAAAGGAGATAGTTCTATACTGAAAAACCAACTTGCACATTCTGGGCTCACGGGTGTGGCTCGGCCGTCGTCCAGGATTTCCTGCATCGCAGGGTCTTTAGATAGGCCTTTGCGCAGCCTCAACGTCTGGCCTGTGGCTCTTCGGGCGGCCCCAGGGGAAGGTGCGGTGGTACCTCCGGCAGTGACACGCATAAGTTGGCCCCAGATGCAACAGCGGGTGGGCACGAAGAAAGCCAGCCTTCCTTTCGGAACTCGGACCCAGATTCGAATCTGGCAAAGCACTTTGCTCGGGCTTTACGACGTTTCAAGGCTGGCTGCGCCGCTGCGCCTTGTCGTCCGGAGCGGCTCCGTGGCGTCTCCCGCTGAGACGAACCGGGACGGGATCCTTTCGAAGCCGCTGAGACATTGACATGGTTTGCCGCTTTGCTGTGGTCGCTGGTGATGCAGCGGTTGCCGCCTCTCGCTGTAGCAGGTCTTCTCGAATTTTCACGCCCCAGCCTTCAACCATTGTGCTGATTTGTGCCATCCGCTTCTGTGACAGCATAGCTGAGCAGTCGTGCTACCTCTCCCAGGTTTGCCAGACCTTGACTCTGACTGTGACTGGAACCAATTTCTGACTACTGGTAGCAAGTGAGGCTTTCTGGGATGCCGACCCTTTAGAGTTCGAAGACATCTGGGTCGTGGAAGCCCTGAGCTTCCCCATCCCAAGCTTCGACACGACACATGAAGACTCGGGTCCCGACCCGGGCGAGCGCGACTGGCTGTGCGCCATCAAGACCTTGGCCTTCTTCTCCTGAGCCGGAGCCAGACGAGGTCTTGCAAGACGAAGTGACACTGAGGGAGGCACGAGATCCGGTAGGTGTGGAAGTGCTAGATGCGTGTGGTCCTTCAAGCCACAAGTGCCGCACCTGTCCCTCCATGCGAACGTCTTGCAGGCCGGAGCAGTGGCAGATGTGCAAAGGCCCCCTTTCGTCTTCTGCTACGAGCATGGGAAGCTGCGTCGTTGCAGCTCTGACTAAAGAAGATAACTAATTCACAGCCATTTCAGCCTTTCAGCGGCGCTCACCGTTGCGCCGCCATCTGTCGTTGCATTTCATAAGCCTCGGATTAGTCGAACGACTCGAAGGAAGAGTCAACAGGCCCAGGAATTTTCTTCAGCATACTCACAAGTCTATAGACAAGCCTGAGGCTAGGGCCATGCCGGCAAAATTCCCTGCACTGGCTTCAACGTTGGACACATTCCGATCTTCTCCGGGCGAGCCTTCGGCCACAGAGACACGATAGGCGATAGGGATACGTCGTGTAGTAGCTAGAGCGCACCAGGTGCGCCAGCTACTCCCGCCTAGGCGTATGGCGCACCGGTCAGCAAGCTCGATGACCCTCGCACGACGATCAGCTGAACTTGCATTTATGCTTCTCATGCTGTCACGACAAAACACGACAAAAACGTCTTTTCAGAATTTGCCTCAGGATATTCATTGCCCGCTTTTTCTCCTCGACAGGTGCACATCGGGATTCCGTCGCGCCCTCGATGCAGCCCCAATCTTAGGACGCGGCAGCATACTCCGCAAGGCTGCACTTGTTGGCAGGCAGCTCCCCTGTTCTTGCTCAGGCGCATGAGAAAATCTAGTCCATTACGGCTACGGACCTTAAACGGTCAGAGCAGATTGAGTTCTCCATGAGGGCTCTCGGAGGCTGCCTCTCCTAGCTTGGAGGCTCGATCCCAAAGTTCGTATGTCAGCCACGGCCTCGCTTCCAGGATGATTGCCTTATACGGGTTCAGATACGTTCGAGCAAGACTTGGGAATGCGGGCTCCAATACCAATTTCGATTCGCTTGGAAATATGTAGTGCGCTAGAAGATACGAATAGGAGAGGCTTGTAGCCGAATATTCTGTGGTATTCCCTGCGCGGTTTTCCAATAATCTGCATAATGGATAGAATAAAGGCTGGAACCGAGGTCGGAATGAGGGCCAAAGAAGGGCTGTAATAAGATTTAGAATAGTTAGCATACGGGTCGGATGGGGGTGCCCATTAACCTACATCAACAATCCTGTTCGAAAGTCGATTCAAACCGTATCCGGAACCATATCAAGGCCATACATATCGATCTCCGATCGCATCCCTGGATCGTACCCAAAGCGTGTTCAAGCCACTCTAAGCAGGAATTCCTCCCCAAGCAACATATCTGGTGCTTAAGTCACACCATCTGCTTGTCGCAAAGCTAGGATCGCCGGGAGGGACAGAACATGATGAGTGTTGTCAATTTGTCGTGTCGTGTGATCTCATCCTGTGCTGCATGGGCCTGCCTTCAGCACTGTGGCGACTGCTCAAACCCATCGCTCAGATGAAGAGAGTACGTGCACCGCACCCAACGTCCCAGCCCGCCTTGTCCAGCATCCGTGTCCCAGGCAAAGCAGCCACCCAGTCCCAACCACTCCATTCCAACAACCAGGCCTGTCAGCTGACGTCACGTCACCGCACGACAAGCATTCGGCTCCGGTGCCTGCGTCGTCTTTGAGCTCGCGCTCAGAGATTGGAACCTCTTGAGGCGTCTGCAGACCTGCCTACAGGAGCGAGCAGGCTCGGCCACTAGTGACTGGAAGCATAGTTCAATAATCGAGTTTGCCTGGGGCGCTGACAGAGTCCACCGCGGTGCGGAACGACATGGCATCATCGTTCTTGCACGCGGGCCAACATGTTGCACCTACGACAAAAACAAGGCCGGTGCACCTCAACGGCCTTACGAAGCGCTTCGAGGACTTCAGACTCCAGGGGAACCAGGACTGCCGCTCGACACGCCTCGCATCGCTGCCGTAGCCGCGTATTCCGGATCAGGCCATGACATCTTACGGGTTCAATGGGCTGGCCTGGTCAGGAGCTGCAGCCGTCGCTCTGCCTGAAAGCGACCACCCAGCAAGGAGTCATCTGCTCAGTCACGAATAGCGACATTTAGTTCATCGCCTCGCAGTGTGCCAGAAGACCTGGCCGGTGCTGCTCCACGCCGTAAGACGAGCTCGTCGGACGCTAGCAGCACCTCCAAAAACTCTCCCACCCTGTCGTCCCACCGGGGGGCGCTGTGCCTCGGAGATAAGGTCTTCATCCCCGACCACTTCGGACAGGTCGCCGGTCTCGCAGCAAAGCTTCCAAGCCTCGGCTCCGCGGCAACCACCCCTAAGGGCGATCACCGCCCATCGCCCCACTCGCGCCTCTGCGTCAATGTCAACTTGGTCGGGATGAGCCTGACATAGTCATGGTCATGAGTGATGGGGTATCATAGTGCCAAAGGACGTCCCTCCCTAGAACAGTCGTGCACCACACGATTCATGGACGCCTGGTTGTAGCTTTTGACCACGAAAGCTTTCAGGCGCTCACAAGGTGACGACAGCCAACCTTTGGGCAGGGTCACCTGAACGAGGCTTCATCAGCTCGACTCCGCTCTCAACTACCGCATGGCCGCCTGCTTGCGCCAAGCGTGGCTCTCGTAGCCTGGCCAGTGCCATCAATTGCTGCTTCCCGCTTGCTCGAGGCACCCAAGTCCCAGAAGTTTGGGAGGCCTTCGCCCTCCTCCGGGACCGTAGAAACCAGCACCTTACCAGCACACCATATGCCGCAATGTCAACAAAACTGTCAAAACTTAAGTCTCCTTGAGGCACCTTCATGATGATGGGCCGCCGTGGCCGTCCATGTGTGAGCCGCCGGGCGGTGTGAAGGCTTGTATCTTCAGCATGCACTTATCCTCTACGCCACATGTGCACAAGAAGAGTGATTCAAAAGCCATGTCCCCAAGTTGGTGCACGCTCACTCGCTCGTGTGTCCCCTTATCATGGCTTGCGGGCTCAGGCAGCACCATCAGCATGCTCTGCGGACTGTCCAAAGTGCCGGTCGAGGCGTTGACAACGAAATCGCCGTCTGCTCTAAAGTGACTCTCAACCAGCATGAATAGGCCGATTGAGCACTCCTTTGGAGGTGGCAGGATACCGTTGAAGGAATCCAAAGACCTGTCCCTCCTGAGTGTGCCATGGCATTGGTAGAGTATGGAAGGCCCCAGGCCCTAGGAGTCCAAGCTCAAGACCAAAAGCTGCTGGACCATGCTATGTCCCGACGTCCAACCTGCACATGGCAGTTTCTTGCTCCGAGAAGAACCGGTACTGCCCAGACAAGCACTAAACCGGCCAAGGGTGCATCGAAGCGATTCCCTGCCAATGACACGGTTGACACAAATTCATGGTGCCGGTCCACCCGGAAATCCTGTGTCGCAAGTCTGCACAAGAACGATGTCGAGCTGATGCACGCATATTGGGCAGCTTCCACGTCCTCAGGCTTGGCCACCATGCAGCCGCAGAGCAGACTACCGAATGTGGCTTACGCCGGAGGCCGACCTAACCGGCAAAGTCTATCACAACTTTCAGGAGTGCATGTGAGTCTGGCAAGGAGGCACGTGGCCAAAGTCGTCTACAGATAGCTCTTCTCGTAGTCGTGGACTCGTCATGTGATCCAAGCAGCTTATCACTTTGAGATGCACCATGACATGAAATGCAGCGCTGTTTCTGGTGCAACATGCATCCGGCTTGAGCCTAGCCCGGGCCAGGACTTTCCTTCGGCCTTTACGTTGGAAGCTAGAGACAGGACAGACTAAGTTTATATAAGTGCTCTACACGACAATCACAACAAGTTATGTGCTGTTGCAGCTGATGGTTACAAGTTGCGAGCTCGTGTCGAAAGATCAGTGTGCAAAGTTTGCAACGCACTTGCACGTTGACCGAAAGTAAAGCTCCTGCTGCTTCTCATGTCAAGCTTCACCATGGATGCCGGAACCCCCCCGGACAAATTCCTACACACATACAAACAAACCCCAAGGTCGGACCTCTACACCTCCGATTCTCGGATCAACAACTTCGAGCCTGGGGCAAACATGTGCGAACATCGCACGCACGAGAAAGTACACTCGCACGCATGAACATCAACCAAGCATGACACGAGCAGGTCAAAAACCCACGCTCTCTCCCTCAACGGAAGAAAGACCATGCAGCTCATCGTGCAACACATGCTGCGAGCTTCAATAGATTCGATGATAAATATATTAGAACCGCCGACTGTCGTAAGGACGTGTCACAAGTTTCTGACTTCGGCCCGCACAGAAATGCACAGAATCTGTCTTGACTTTTGCTCCGGCGGATCAAGGCGTGATTGACGACCTGGCACACCACTGTCAGACTGCACACCACTCCATCGGAAGCCAAGAAGTCAGGCCTTTCTTCGAGCACTCCCGAGAGCAGCAGCTCGCTTGGTCGCGGTAACATATTTGTCCAGGCCTGGGGCACAACGCGTATTAAAGACACCGGCGAGCAAAGCAAATATGACTTGCTACGAAAACTACCATGATCACATGACTACTCTTGCTGGTGAGAAGACAGTCTCAATTCAAGGTCTCATGCTTGCCTGCGGCACTTGCTGCGGAGCATAGCCGTGCCCAGCACTTGATTGACCAAATGCCTGGCCAGCACCCACAGACGCATACACAGGAGACAGACACAAGACCGGGAGAAAGAGAGACAGATAGACAGAGACGCTTTCTGCGCATTGCAAGGTATGCTTCCGACTCGGAGGGCAGACCGGATCCCAAGCGTTCACAGCGGCTCAGTCGCCTTTTCGGATCGCCCGAACCTGCGACCCTTGTTTTTCAGCACGCAGGTCTCTGTGAGTTAGCAGAATGTCTCCCCTTCAGATCTTGGAGCTGATGCGGCCGATCTGCCCACGAAAACCATACAAACACCCGGAGCACAGGGTCGTTGAAAGGCTGAATAGCTGCTTACAAACCACGCTGTAGGACGGTAGGACGCATCAGATGATAACGCGTCCGGATCCGGCAGAGCTAGCTTCATCCTGCAGATTACAAAAATCGGGCGGGAACGAATATCATCAGAAGTACATGGATCGTGCAGCCAGCAATTCTGCTAGTGTAGAACGGCCGTGGATTTCGGATTCAGCACACGATCATCCCGCTCTGGTTGAAACAGCACCGTTCCAGGAGTGTCCAGACAAGGAAGGCCGCTGAAGCTCGGCACTGCACAGCTCGATACGGGTCGAGAAGTCAAGTACCGAGTCAAGCAAGGGCCTCCTCGAACATCCTGGATCCGGTTTAGCAAATTGAGGCTGCCGTCTAAACAGGCGCCGAATGTGATACTGACCCGGCTGGGCCGAGCATGCAGCTTGGAGGTCTCGTGCCTGTGCGCAGTCCGCTGAATCTTTGCAACTTCCAAGGATTTGCAGCCAGCTTTTGCTACTCATAATTTTTCCATGTATCAAGCACGTAGACTTTGGGCCAAGCTGGGAAAACGGAGAGCCAGCACATCGGAATGTGAGCTCTGAAAACATCGGCAGAAATCAGGTCTGTGCCACCAAAGTACAGTCCTGGTCTTCGCCATCTGGTCAGACCCTACTACGAGACTATCACTACTCGGGAACTTGCGCAGTCGATGACTGCGTCGGCATGGGTCGGCTGTGCCAGGGCCACGGGGCCACGGGGCGGCGGGGCGGGAGCTGCTCCAGGGGTGCCCCTAAGGCAACTTGACGAGCCTCAATCAGGCATCCACGCTCTCGCGACCTTACAGGCTGCGGCATGAAAACTGCCATAAGCTGTGCTTGCAAGAAACAGATGATTCTCAGATGATTCTCGTGGCCTTCTGTGAACACAGGACTCTTAGAGGATGGCTCTTGATGTCAGCAAGCATTCCTGGCGTGCATGAAGGAGCCGTTGAGCTGCTCGCATCGGCTCGTGCCGCCCAGCCTGAAACCACCTCTTGAGGCGATGGTGCAGCTTTTGCATCATCCTGCCGGAGTCTTAGTCTTAGAGGTCGCACATAAGTGGAAAGCTTGGGAAAAGTGAAAGTGTGGTTTTTTTTCGAAACGGCCTCGACAGCTTCCTTCACAGCCTGCGAGGCGACATCCGAGACGACCTTGAGCAGGAAGACCTGACAGAGAGCCGAGGGTCGAGGCGAGGAAAAGACTTCAGCGGAGTGAGCCGAGCTCAGGCACCGACGGTCACTGCAAGCCCCGCTGCGTAGACCTCTGCCGCCGATATGCCAAAGGAGATTGCGAGGGGGAGAGTTGTCGCAGGACGCGGCTGGCAAAGGTGGAGTCTTGCTAGTGCGCTGAAGACTCTTAGGCCAACGCATACCACGGCTGGCTAGCACCCTCCGTGGTGAGTTCACGTGCCGTCGTGGCCGCGTAGACGAGCCCAATGGTGCCTCTCAAGTTTGTTGCCAACACACACACACACACACGTGCAGCAATGGACCAAAACAAGAGAATCAAAGGTGCGCGGACCTGGCGCGAATCCCAAAGCCGTTGCCAAGATGAAGTCTCCGAAACCGACTTTGCTCAGACCGTAGACCTGTCAGACTATGTGCCGGAGTGTTTAGTCCTGCCACAAGATAGGCATGACAGGCTCCAGGCATAGTTGGACAAAGCAAAAGGGAGCAGCGGCGACAAGCGCCTGCTGTTGTTCAAACAAGAGCTGCACTTGGGCCTGAGACCCCCCGCAGCTATGTTCAACTTCAGCCGAGGCGCAACAGAAGAATGATTTTGAAGCCTTCTCGCCTGAGATTCGACTTGCCAAATGTCCCAGTACCCTCTTTACAGTGTAGCTTGGCTTCGAATCGTAAACCCTTCGCGCCAGCTTCAATCAGCTGTGCCCACTGTTCCGTTGAGCCACCACAACTGCTTCAAGCCTTTTTTGAACGAGAGCAGCCGGTTGCGACATACACCTGCTGGAGTCTGCTACAGCTAACATCACTGCTGCTGACAGGTGCAACCGCACTCTAAACCTACGATTTCAATTGTTCTTGTCTGCTCAGAGCTGCAGGCCTTTCACGCTGGCCGCAGAACGGCCATTCGACCAAGCTTGCAGGAGCTTGCCATGACGAAACGCTAGGCTAAGCAGTCAATAGCTATGCCCGTTCTGACAGACCAGTTAAAAAGTCGTGGATCCATTCAATGGAGCCACAGAAAGATAGAGATGCAAAGCCCATGGGCCGAGAGCTGGTTCGTGTCTCAATCATCATAAGGAGCACACCTGGGATGCACGGCCCGATATGACGGAGCAACAGGCAGCGAGATTCAACATGCTTGAACGAGTCATCAAGGCATACAGGAAGGGCACGTTTCAGCTGCTCGGTACAGCGTGTCCGCCAAGACCTACAGTCGAGTGTCATGTTGGCGTCTGCAATTGAGCCAGCATCACAGAACACAGCTGGCAAATGTGCCTCTGGAGCCAAAGCCTGAAGGGGACTGCACGAACAGCACACAACTCTGGCTTGTGGCGCGGCTAAGTACATCGAAAGCATCCAGGCCTGGCAGGTGCGAAGTATCCTACCAGGTGCAGACACCTTTCATCGGTACGGCTGATGTCTGTCTGAATGCAACATGTTCTGAGCCCACTACTTCAGCGGCCATCTCCGCGCATGATTTGCAGTCTATGAATGCCTAGGAGTTCAAGCAGAACTGCGCACAAAGCATGTGCAGCTCACAAGGCCCGAGTGTGGTTTCCCAGGCTCAGAGCAGCACACGTGCATCTTGCGGCACAACTTGCAGCTCGTCGAGTACGAGTTCTGCGCCTCAGGAGAACACGATTGACGCGGACTCTAGCTTCAAAGGGAGTCCCTGCCTGACACCGGGAAGATGTCCATGAATGCCTGCACACGCATGCACAAGCCCACTTTGCTGAGAGCCCCGCGCAAGGGCTTACAGCTGACACGCTACATGCTCGCTCCGATCTTCACAGAGATATGCACAGATTGCGCATGCCTGGCACCAGGGACTGACCTTGGACGTGGGGTTGCCGAAGGGATCCACCAAGCCGCCACCGACATGAACCCAGCCGGCAATGCCTCACCGGAACACAAAAAAACTGTGCCCTGTGTTCGGCGGAGCTTCGGACACCAGCCCAGCCTCCGAGGATGCTCTTTAGTTGGGAGCTGTTGACCTGCGAGCAGATGAAATGAAAAATCAACACCATGCAGCACAGGCTCCGGGTGTTTTTCAGCCCGCCCCCTTCCACACCGCCCCGACCACACCGCCAGCACCCAAATCCTGTCGATCAAATCCCATCGACCTCCCGGCATCTCCCTGCTTCCCCAGCTCCAACACTGCTGTGAAAACTCATTTAGGTCGTGGGGCTAACGCTGCTGTGCCCGTGTTCAAGCTGCAGAAAGTGGGTGGCAGTGGATCTATGCCCAGCCGAGGCCAGGCGCAAGCAGACATGATCCATCGTGAGGCCTTGCAGCGCAGGCCGACCTTTTCGGGCTCCGTCAGCATGTCTTGACAGAACCTGCACTGACGTGCCTACAGTGAAGCAAGTACTGTACCGGCCTTCGTGCCGGCCTGCCAGATCGGCCACCCACCGTGCAAAAGACAAGGAATGTGTAGGGCAGGTTGGGTAGATTGCCAGCCTGGAGACTTGCAGCTTCGTGCAACGCTGCAAGGAGCCAACGTCATTGGGCTGCGACCATCTTCTGAAGGAACTCTTCCTGATGGTCATTAAATGCCATTAACAGAAAGGAGAAGTCACGCCCAGAACAGTGTCACCGGCCTTTGTGATGGTCGGGCAAGTCGGGGAAGAAATGGTCGACACCTCCACGGACTTACTGTGACATAAATGACATGCACGCTGTTTGTCAGTTGGCACAAACCTTTCGGCAGTGAAGGCATGTTTTGCAGACGCCCACGTGTTCACAATTCCCTTTCGCATTGATCTATGCCGCGAAGGGCTGCGGCACTCCAACCAGTCCCACTAAGTTCATGCCTGGCGCTCTTCAGCTGTGCGCACGTCCACGAAGATATAGCCGGCATTCTGGCATGCAGGAGTTTCGCAGGCGTGACTTCGAACTAGTTTTGGCAGTACTTCTACACCGATTCTGGGGGAGAGACAGGTGCGGCGACTAGGCGCTGAACTTCCTGGAAAGACATGCGACGACGTCCAGGCTGAAAGCACGAAGAGCCCGAAGCCCCAGGTTGGAGCCTCTGCGTCAAGGCACAGCACTGAGGGACAGTACCGCAAGCGCACCTGTGAGATCAAACAGGGCACTTTTTTTGGCGATGCATGCGTGCAGGGACACGCAATGCGCCTCCCACGCAAGGTTTCGCAATCGATCCAGCCTCCGAAGCGCCACAGTAGAGCAAAGCATCCATTCTCTCATGCGCGCACTTGCGCCGCTCGCTTGGGCCCATGCCGTGCCCTCGAGGCCCGCGTGAGGCTGCGCTGGGGCGAGCTCTCGATCTCGGACCTTGGGACGATGTCGATATCGACGATAGCATCAGAGATGAAGTCTTTCCTAATTCATGTCTTCCGTCACCGCTCGGCGGCTGAATCCACCGGAGAGCGGAGAGTGAGAGTTAGGGCGAAGTTGGGAGTGAAGAGTGGGAGTGAGAGTGAGCGAGGAGAAGGAGTGACTCAACATCAGTCAGAAAGTTACAGGCAACAGTGAGCGCCCCAC